CCCAACTATTGTGCTGAAGCACAAAAATGTTTTCTTAACCATGAACTAAAGCTGTTAACTGGAAATCTGATGAGATAACCCAAGAGTTCTTAAGGGCAAGCACGATTGGCCTCAGAGGACCACCCAACCCTACCTTTGAGAGGACTGCACCATTAGGGCTCTCTGCCTGGTATGTGCCAACGTTTGAAGGATGGATTGTTGGTTGAAAGGGCCTTGTTGGTCATTTAGGGTCCAAAGTAATCGCCTGTCTCCTGTTGCTCGCTCAGAGCCATCCAAGCAGAAATCCTGGCAACTGAAATAAATCTAAGAGGAAACTGGCCTCCCCAGGTGCTCCGTCCTCCCTCCCTCTTTCTGGGATGATTTGATTCAGAGACCAGAAAGTCTAAAAAGAGAAAGGCAGAGAGCCTCTGGGACATCTAGGCCATTCCTTTACGCTTGCCTCCCGTAACAGATTCCACCTTCCAGGGCACTGAGTGGCCAGTTAGTGGCCTGAAGGAGTTAAGGAAATGAACAATTTCCTTCCTATTCCAAGTTACATCAGGCTTGTTAGGAAGGCCAGCTGATTAACTTCCTGTACAGCAACGGTAGGCATGCAGCCTTTACATGTCCTACAGGACACCATAGTATCTTTTTTGTTCAAGAAATTAAGCTGTCAGAGTGGTCATTATGTAAACTCGGCTTGAGGTGCTTGTCAGATTTCTGCATATAACTCAACAATGACTGAAAGTAAGTTAAATATAGGAGATGGGAAATCAGGTCAGTAATTTATTTAGCTTCGACCTGATTAACGAACACAATTAAACTACCATATTGTAGTTCTGATCCCTCACCAAATAAAAGTAAAATATTGCGGGCTTAAAAAATACCTAGAAAGCTATTCCCACATATTTGTCAGTGGAAGCAACCAGCTGGGCTCAATCTGGCATTTAAATACTAGACAAACCAAGAAACAGACTCTTAATTATAGAGAACAAATTGATGATCACCAGAGCGAAGGCCGGTGGGATGAGGAGTGAAATAGGTGATGGGGATTGAGGAAGGCACTTGTGTGAGCATGAGGTGATGTGTGGAAGGGCTGAATCACTATATTATACACCTGAAACTAATATTACCCTGTAAAAATAAAATGATAAAAAAGGAAAATAATAACTTATGAAATCTAAAAAATAAAATAAACGATGTATCCTAAGTGAGAGTTTCATCAGCTGGAGGCAAATTCAAAAAGACATACTTCAAATAACAGCAGGAGAATTCCCTCGGTCATTTTTCTAGCCCCTTTCTAGAAGTGCTAGAATGGTACTGCTCTTAGTCTTGAAAAAAATGCAACTCTACAGAATCTTATTATTTTCAGAAGTCTAACTATAATTCCTTCTGTGTTAATTGGGTAGCAGGGATTTCTATGGATTCCTTAGAGGGTATCTTTGAAGGCAAGTTCACCTTATCATATTTATTTGTAAGACTGTCTGTGCTTAATCAGCTGTATGGCCTAAAAACCCACTTGTTTTAGTCTTGGTTAGGAACTGGATCTTGTCCACACTGTTTTTTGTTCGATAAGGAGAGATAAAAATACCTTGCTTGAAGATTGTTGTCAGAAAAATCTGATAAAAATATGTGCCTGGATCAACATAAACCATGGCCACTAGTGAAAAATCAGTTTAGAGGCTATGACTCTCCCAACTGGGGTAGGAGGTATGTTTTCTATATCATGAAAACATATTCATCACAATATTCCTATTTTTGTGCCATATGAATCAAAGACATCATAAATAAACCCGTTTGTTGCTAGAAAAAAAGGCAATTAATGTCTAAATGTATTTCTGAATAAACCTGCAGCTTTATACGATGAATTCAACATATTAAGGACATTACCATATTGTGACTTAATCTCGATGCTTATTCAGGAATCCCATGTGATTGATCTCTGTATCTGTATCTCCTGCATGGCATTTAGTTTAGGGGAACAATAATACCAGTATACATGTCTGTTCTATCAAGTTGTGGTTATTTCTTGGAAGTTCAGTGTTTACTTTTTAATCTTAGATTTTTCTAAACATACCTTAGAGCTTTCCAACATATCCTTGGCCAGAGTGCTAACCAATTATTGTTTTTCATGTTGGGATTACCACAGGCAGCTAATATTCAGTAACGGTATTTTCATACGCTAAGGACTTTAAGGTACTGGCTTTTCTATATTGTTTAATGAGACAGGCTGGTGATAATGTTTTTATTTTACATACGGGGAAATAAATGATATTTATTGTTTTGTTTGTTTGTTTGTTTGTTTGACTACAGAACTCTCTATTAGGTGGAGCCAAAGTGAGAGACAATAGTTCTGGACTATTATTCCTGTTTCTCTGTAGCAGTTCAGAAGTGACAGCCACAGCTTCCAAACATTACCACTTAATTTAAGCAATGTGAGACTCTTTGGTGGGGGGAAGGAAAGACTCGCTGACAGTATATCATTTTTTCATTATGCTATGGAGAGTAATTATAGGTTGCTGTATACATTTAGAAACTAGTCTATGTGGTTTAAAAGAGAAAGAATTAAGACCATGCAAAATTATGTTTTTTAAATTCAAAATCAATGAAAAAATAATGTGACACGTAAGACCTTTCTTAGGGTTCAGCTCACTAAACATATAAAGCGTATTAAGATGTGGAAACCGTATACCTTTCATTACATTATTCTATGGCTATCATTTATTTCATTTTGGTATAAAAGTAATTATTGTTCTGAGCATAATAGTATACATTTCCTTTCCCCAGCACTAGCGCTCCAACTACAATCGACTTCAATTCAGATTAATCATGCCAAGATGGCAATTCCATTACACCAAGAGTAAAATTTAATAATCTAATATATGGCTATAGTTTCAACGGTGAAAACTCTGTGGTTAACTACTTTGGGGATTTTATTAAGATTAAAGTTCAACATAATGCATCTTAATCAGACCTTCACTGGAAAACACTCATTACAAAACATGGTTGACCATAGTCTAAGTAATCCTTCTGCAGAGGCATTAAATTCCACTTATTACTTTCATTTGAGGAGTATCTAATAATGGGAAAGATGTTATATTATTGATGTAAGATGTTTTGATTTAATTTCAACTTTATTATATTACTTAACTTTGGTTATAATGCAATACTGTATATAGGATTATGCTTTAGACCAAATGACAAAATATTGTGTACAAGAGAGTAGTTTATTTAAGTAGAATAAGACATGTCTGGTTGTAAATGTATCTCACCTAAGAATGCATATAAGGAGCAACTAGTTCCAATTACATGGCACCTTTCTGTGTCTTAAATAGGACCTTAGTGGATAAAGAGTTAATCCCCCTCTAAAATAAACTGCTTACTTCCTCTCCAGCAGCAAGTAGGCCGGTCCAGCCAGATACTGGCAGGAGAGAAAGAAAAGTTTTAAGCCTTCATATACCCAAGTAAAGGTTGCACTGTGATCTTTAAACACTGCCTTTTCTCCAAAGTTCTGTAATGGCTTAAAAAAGCCATTTCTCAAGGAAGTGGAAGAATGTGCTGTAGTAACTTTATAGTACAGGACTAATTTATATTTTGCTTATTATCCTTTTAACTATGAAAGGTACTGCCTCATGTGAAACCAAGTGACCGAAAAACAAGTTTCATTTCTTTACAAATGAACTTCTGTTGTGCCAATGTGTATTTTGAAATTCGTTTTCAATCCTTTGCCGTTTAGAGTGTGATTTGGGAACGCAGTTCATTTTCTGGCACACATTATCAGATTTAGGTTCAAGCAGGATGAGTCTGAGAAAATTCTAAGTTGCTTTTGAATAGATAGATTACAGTATTAATTTATTTCTCTGGTAAAATTTCCTTTATTTTTTAAAAGTGTATTTATTTATTTTGAGAGAGAGAGAGAAAGATGGAGAGTGAGGGGCAGAAAGAGGGAGAGAAAGAATCCCCAGTAGACTCTGCACTGGCAGCACAGGGCCTGATGCTGGGCTCGAACTCATGAAGCGTGAGATCATGACCTGAGCTGAAACCGAGTCAGATGCTTAACTGACTGAGCTACTTAGGTGCCCTTCTCTGGTAAAATTTAAACTACAGGTGGAATTTGAAAACCATTTCATATCCTACATGCTATACTGTGAGCTCCTGGAGGATGGGTAACATGTCTTATCTTCCGATGTACAGCACAGAGCCTAGGGTTTATATTAAATAACTTACTCTAGAAAATCCTCACTGTGAGAAAGTGCTTTGATCATAAATGAAATACATCATTAAAATGCTTTCCCTTATTTTAAAAAGTGATGCATCAGACATACTTAGTGCTTTCTAGTACAATCAACATATAGTTATTAATCAATCATCCAGTCAATCAATCAGTCAATGTTTGTCTTTCTTACTGTTTCTTCTTCTGAACCACCTGAAAAATCTTTGCCTGGTGGTCTTGCAAATTTCATGGCCTTGATAAAACTGAGCAGGTAAGGGACCATGATCAAGTAAGGCAAAAATTCCATGTGATCCATGGGTTCCATGTGATCCCAGTCACAGCAAGATAGGGAAAAGAAAACTAATATACTTCTTTTGTCCTCAGATATATTTTACATGTGCTTTACTTTTTGTGAGTGGCTGTACTGCTCAGCTGAGGTATAAGGAATGTGAAAAGCTGCCCAGACTTTCACATCCAATCTATGTTACATCACCAGAGGCAGCCTGGGCCTTCTCACCTTTAGCCTCTTGGAAAAGAGGAGGTCAGATTTTGGAGAAGAGGACAGGCACTCCCCCTTCATTTCTTTCAAAATCGAAAAATATTTAGAGAGCAAGCATGTGATCCTATGTTTTGAGAAACACTTTGAAACTGATAAATCTCCAATGTGACAACCCTAAAGGCTCATTTCAACCCTTGGCAAGAGGATTACAGCTGGCTCAGAACCCAAGGAAACCACAATCAATGAGACCCTGCCTTCTTTAAACCAATCATCTTCCAAAGCAAAACACCTTATGCATTTAACACTTACGAGGGCTCTTCTGACACAGCAGCTCCTTCTTCTAGTTCTTGAGCTTGCTTGTACCATGGCAGTTTGGCCTCTACTGGGAGTTTCTCTGAGAATTAAGTGCATGCACACAAGAGAGAAGAGGTTAGAACCAATTTGGAATTTTGGGGCGCTCCCTTTATATCTTCACCAGTTCCTGATTTTGCACTACCTAAAAACTATATGGATAATTGCAAATAATAAGCTTTTCAGTAAGTCTTGGCTACTGATGATGGTTATATGAATAAAGAGAATATTTTTTAAATGTTTAGTATACTAGTCTTTGTGTATATATGCTTCCCTCTCATTATGCTGAAGAGCAAAGGAAAGCCTTTTAATCATGGAAGTCATAACTCTAGGAACATGGGCTCAATATATGTATGAAAAGCTATCAAAGTATCTTTTCACTAGTTCCTGGTAAAAAATACAGCGATATTTATTTCTTAAGACAAATGCAAAGTACAATAAATTAGACGATAGTACTTTAATAAATTCTGACTTGTTTCTCTTTTTCTTTTGGCCAAGTGTAATCTATGCCATATTGTCAAAAACAAAAACAAAAATGCCACTTTGAAATTCACAAAATATCACCTTAGACATCTGACTCACTCAGCACCACCCCAGCGCTCCCTGACAATTGGAATATGAGTAATTTAGGGTCCACAACCCATAATTTGACTGTTTCACCTATTTATCTTGCTTTGGCCATATAATTCAGGATAAGCTTCCTAACTACTTCCTGGGGGAAAAACGTGAAGGAGAAAAAGAAAGAGGGAGGTCATAACTGCTCCTATAGAAGTCACTGCCAAGATTCCTATTCTGACATATTTATTAGGATCATTTATAGGCATATTTGCCTTTATAGTATGAGCCAGTGAAGCTCCATCACCATTTTATGACATATAATTGTAAAGATGAAAGAAATATGTCTCTATATGCATACACCATAGAATTATATTGCGTTTTAATGATGTTTAGAGAGCCAGACTCACTACTTGGTTGTGAAAATCCAGATTTCATTCTTGATAGTTATCCACAAACTGCTTTACTTTCTCTGAAGTGGCATGGTAAAGACAGCTAATAAATCATTGACAATTTTAAGTGGGGGGCATCACTTCTTGTGCTCTATGTGCAGCAATTGTTTATAGTCAGGAAACAAAGCATGAGAGAAATATGAAGCTGCTAAGGCCAGAGGGATTTGCTCACATTTAAACATGGTAACATGGTACCTGTGCATACATCATTTTACAACTAGCTCTCCTCTCTCAACTCAGTGATGCAGTCAGTGACACCATATCTGACAGTGTGAACCACTTCTCTGTCGCAGTGATGGAGCATTAAGCTTGGTGGTGTTAGCAGGCCTGCAATATTTTGTCTATTGGAAGCGGATCCTGGAAGATACGCTGGTGGCCTCTTCCTCCCGTATTTGAGGATGCTGATGATAGTCAGGAGCTGAAGATAACATTTATGATGAACTTGCTATATTCCAGGCAGTGAGCTAAGCACCCTGTTTGCACTATACCTCATTTAATACTCACATGATCTCTGAGGTAGTTACTAGTATTGACCCCATTTTAAAGATGAAGACACTGAGGTTTAGGGAGAGATGTAGTTATCAAAGCTACCAGGTATTTTGGGTAGTGTTTCTGGTATTTTGGGTTTGTTTATTTCCATTATATCATTTAGACTTCATGGCACCATTAACCCTCAACAAGGGAAACCTGTAGATAGTATAATAAAGAGCTATGCTATGGCTCATTTTCAGAGAAGTGTAATGACTAGAGAAATAAATCAAGAAGCAAATAGGAATCATATTTAATATCAATAATAGGAGGTAGTTTATGATAAGGAGTTCTTCTGACTTGGTTTGTGACTTGCATTTTCGCTAAGTAGAACTTTTTACAAAATTGCTTTTTATAAATTACATGTAATATCCATTGAATTCTGACTTATTTCAGATTTCCATTTCAAGTTAGGATTCTGGAATCTAGTCTCACATTAATGCTTTAATTCGCATGATAAAAAGCAACACCTTTCTGTTTCATCAGTTCCTAGTATGAAGCTTCCCAATGTATCTGATGCTTAGCAAAGTAGACACTTTCAGATTCACTGCATTGTTCTCAACAGCAAGACATGTGCATAGCAAATCATACATACATTTCTCCAATATCTCTATAATATCTCCCTCCAAGCAGATATATCTGCTACTTTTCAGCAATGGTCTCTAAACGGCTTTATGATCCGGGAGAGAATTACGTAAATAAGTAGTACTTAACAACAATTTGCAAGCAAAATTATTTGAAAGATTTTTTTAAGAAAGAGTTAAGTCCATTTAGTAGAGTCTAAGCTATACAATATCATTTCCAAGGACCTTGGGATACTTAAAAATATTCCAAGGAGTTTCAAACAGCCCCTGAATGCACATAACAATGAAAAGGCTGGTAAGAGAGCAATTGTAGAGTTACCTTTGGGTTTATAGCAGGGAGTGGGTATGATGCATTCCTCTTTTATGTGGGGCTTGGTTTTGGGGCTACAACCTCCTGTGTGCATTCCACGATGGTCGATGCAGAGGACCACCCGATACCTGAGGCCCTGGCCACATGTCACCGTGCACTGGAAGGAGAATGCAAGACAGAGGAGACTCATAGTAAAGCCTTGTTCACTTGCTTCATTTCTCACCTGAGACTTTAAAGGGCTGCTTTTATATAAGGACTCCCGGTGGATTTGTACCGTTTCTTACCATTCATGGAATCTGTGTTCTATTTGGCTATTTAAGGTGAAGCTGGCTGAAAATTAAAACCACTTTTGGTAGCATTCCCGAAGCACCCACTGTGTGCCAAGTCCCAAACCAGGCAGCAAAAAGGAGAACAGAAACTGTAGCGTGTGCTCAATTTTGATTACTAACCCTGCATTTTAATTTTATTTTGTCATTTTTCTAGCTCCCCCATGGACATTAAAATGTTTTTGAACCGCCATCATAGTTAATTGCATGCATATATTGCAGCATGGCTGATCCAAGTGATTATACTGACACGGTCAGAACTGTTTAAGGGAGTTGATTCAACGGCCGGATGTAGATGGCACCTCCCGTGGTTCTAGATGCCTGGGAGCAAGTCTAGATAGAGAGAAATGTCAAAGCCCTGATCTGGCCGCCACAAAGCCACATAGTGAAGTGGAAGTCTTTTTGCCATCTGTGTGGCTGAGGGCACCATGGTTTATTTCCTCATCTTTCTATCCCTTTTGCCATTTCAAACCTTTTGCGTTAGCAGCCCAGAAACCTCAAATAACATTTTATTTAAGCTGCTGCAACAGTTTCCCTAATGTTCTAGAATGTTCTGGTTTTAATTATCCGACTTCATCCCCATTCTAATTATTTTGCCACTTCCATTTCGTCTTTTTTTTTTTTTCAATGAATAATACACATAGTTTTAATTTAAATCCACTCAAATCCTGTTTGGATGTAGACAAAGTATAAGAAATAAAAAATAAAACCAAACTGTGGTCTACTGAGCTCTATCATCAGAGCAGCTTCTGGAGACTTGGAATCAGTCATTCGGCCTCAGTTGCTCTTGACAGACACTTGCGTCTCCTTGCCACTTAAGGGAACATTATGAGCGATAGAGGCTTCCTGAAGTAACTTAAAGAAGTTATATATATTTATGCATTTACTTTTGGTTCTGATGGATTTGGGGTGTGCCTACATTGGGAGCTAAACTGGTGGGCTTCTAGACACCTCAAGAGAAGTGGGGAGCTGCACAGGGTAGCCGATAGGGTCATGATGATGAGAGGGAAGAGTGGACTTACTCTCCTAACGAACAAAGAAAGAGGGCACAGTTACCGGAGACCACTCCTGTGCCAGCCACTTAGGACAGTCAAAAATGTTGCAGGGCTGCACGATGGGCATCTTAGGGGTGTACATGCATTTCCACTCTTCCACTGAGGTGACATGCCCCTGGATGTCCTCCTCCACACAGGAAACTGCCCGGCTCTGGATGCCCCCCCCACACGAGGAGGAGCACGCGGTCCACGGGGTGGCCTCCCACCTACAGAAGCAAGGGGAGTCATCAGGGCAGACATGCACATTGCCAAACCTCCTCAGTGACCTTTCCGACCAACCCAGTTCCCAGTGCCTACTGGGGCAATCAGGTTCTGAGAGGCTATGGTCAAGAGGACCGAGAGCCATCTAACGCCTAAAACCTGATGAGTAAGAGAGAAGGATTCAGTGTTGGCAAAAGTGCTTTGTAATCCTTGAAGCTCTACATAATGTAAGAAATTACTGTTTGGAGAGCTGTCCACAGGGATATCTGTGCTGTCTGTAACGTACTCTAAAGGGGGTTATTCAGTCCTTCTCCCTGTAGTTTGAATATATATTCTGTGCATAATATTTATATTATTTTATATTTTATAAGTATATATTCTGCATATATACTGTTCTATATTTACTATGTATATATTATTATATATACTGTTATATATTTACTATGATATATATGTGTAAATATATATACATATATATACTTGCTAAATCTCATTAAATATCTTTGTTAAGACCAAAACTGGTTACTCAACAGGAACAGTTTGCACCTGGGCTGATACTTTCTCTTTTCAATGCAATACTTTATTACTTAGCTTCTGGATACTTTTATATGAGAAGCTCATGAAAGATCAAGGTAAACCAAACACTCTCTGTCCCTTGCTTCTACAATCATCAGCTTTGGGACCACATGGATTCAGCACAATTCTGATGTTCAAACTATGCCATCATTACACTAAGGAGCAAAAGTGATAATGTAGGTATTATATTCTTGTTCCCTAACTGTTGAGGGATACTGGCAGTTAGCATTCCCCCAATAAAGAACTCTTGGAATTGTGAAGAAGTTTGGTTTTGTTTGGAAGGCTGATGGCATTGGAATCTAAAGATACAATTAAGTAAGGGAGAAAAGAACAATACTATCAATAGCATTTAAGAGAACTCCATTGCTTTTTAGATCTCTGCAGAGCTCTGAAGCATCTGAGACTAGATGCAGAGAGAGGTCTTTGCCTGACTTACAGACTATAGAAGTTTGAAAAATAGAATCACTGGGACTGAGTTTGTCTTTCTTACATATATTCTGGTTGTTGATGAGGATTGCTAAGGAATTTTATGATTTCTCCTAGAGTTATGAGAGATCTAGTTTTAATGAGAGAAAAACAAAATGTCATCAAGTTGATCTACTTGAAAAGTTAAACTTAAAAACATTGCGCAAGCATACCATGGAGACATCAATTATTTTATAAGTGGGATTCATGTATATTGGGAACCTGAATGCTCTTCTGTATAAGCCTGGATAATGTATGTTTCCCAGTTAACAGAGGATTTTCCTCCACATTTTCTCTGCACTGTTTGAGTCTAGGCAACAACTGTTATCTCTATTGCCAACAGCCTAAACATGCTGCCAAGTACAATATTTTCCTATGCATATTTCCCCAGGAGACACAAAGGAAAATGCTATTATGGGGAAACTGAGGCCCTCTGTGTAGCCCTTAGGAGACTTTCTGGTCCCTTTTAAGAAAATGAAGCAGCTCTGCAGAGGGTCTCTCTTCTAAAAGGGTAAGACCAATTCTCATTTATCCATGTAAATCTCTGGAGAGCTTCCCTTGGACATGGATAACAGGTCTGACTCAGAATGAAATTAGGCTGAATATATAAGTACATATTCACATTACATTTGACCTGACAGTGAAATGGGAATATGTTTTTGAATGTACATTTAATCTCTTAGAACATTAAGATCCCATAAAAGGAGCACACTTTTTAATTGGTGCTCTAATGTCCCTGAGCTTGACCTTTCTAAAGAGAGAGTGATTAATTTCTGTCTCAACATTTGGACCTGACCCATAGTGTAAGTTCATAAACAATAATAAGTATCATTTTCAATATCAGTGATCACAGAAAGACAAATGATGCTAATATTATTCTAAGAATTTATAATATGGGTCCACCATGACTATAGGTATATACATGAAAAATTATTGTGTGAATCCTGACATAATAATAGGGTTATGTGGAATTTCGAGGCAAAACATGTCTGAGTACTTTAAAGAAAGTATAATAAAAGCTGAAAGAAGACATCAGTTAGAATATCTTGAAACAGGGACCAGTAAGTACTTGGAAAAATAAAAAAGCATATCCAAGAATCTTGTCCTGGAAGAATAATAAATGGGTTCATATATCCCATATTTTAATTCTGATGGCTTTTAATCTTTTAAATACATAGCGTGTTTGGCTTAAGAAATTCTCAAAATTAAGAGTGATGTGGAAAACATAAATATTGATTATGAATTAAAGATAATTCATCAGACTACATTCTTACATTACGTTTAGGCACGTGTTTCAGTGAAGGACCGAGAGCCAGAAAAAAAATTCCAAAGACTCATTAACTGTGCTTTGTATCTACAATTGTGGTCTAAAACCCATTTAAATAATTTCAATAAGTAAAGCCTCCTGCCTTGATCAGAAGGTAGCTGCCATCTGAGAATCATTTTTGAGCCTTAGTTCTCAACTTTGGGTCTTTTTTTGAGACTCATTACATCTTATAAAAACATGTGTGTAGAAATTGCTTCCATTTACTAAGACTTTATCAACTAAGCAGAATATCTAGCTTTAGAATTAGCTCAGTAACAGAGGTGCAAGAAATACAGTGTTTATTAGCTAATTATCCTTTCTCATTGTGATGCACGGATAGGGGACCAGTGTGGACACAGGATAGCATTAAGGAGGCTCACTTCAATCTATCATTGAGAAACTGGGCTTCTAGCATTTGGGGGAAATCAGGGTATATAAGAAACGAAGTTTAACCTAAGACAGGCATGAGTTATACCAGAGAAATATAAATAAGAGAGATCATAGACATGAAAGAAACTTAGGAGTGCCATTACAAGAAAAACATAACTTTGATGTTGCTCACCCCTGACACCAACTTTGCTTTTATCATAAAATATTTGGTCTTCACACAAACAGATATGTGTGTCCTATTTTACAGATACAGAAACTGAAGTCAAATGAAATCTTGGTTAAGTTAATCTCTTTATATTTTCACTCCACTTTTTTTTTTTTTCCCCAAGAAGCATTTACTATGTGTATTACTTTGGTTCTGGATCAAACCAACAAAATGATACGTTAGGAGCATTCTATAGTCATTTATCAGCTTTATCAATATAGTCATAGAAAAGTGGGAGGGAGCTGACTAATGAGGTAACCCCTTAGTGGAGGAACTTAAAAAAACTCCAAACAACTATACAGAGTACAAATCCAATATCCCTCTCTACATGCTACCATTAGGATGGTGAAAAGTGAGTCCTCTGCAAGGCACTGGAAGTACTTAAGTAGAGGATGGATGACAGCTTGCACTGGTATATATGTATTATATAAATATCTGTATATGCATATACCCATGTGAGAATACACATACACTAGATACCCATATATGCATATTTTTGTAAATACATGTTTCCAACTGTAGGGTATATAAGTGTGGTTGCAGGGAAGGAATGGGACAGAGAAGCATCTCTGGGGAGCAGAACAAAATGACCTCAAAGGCCCCTATTTCAATTCCATTTCATTAAGTATTTGGAGATTTCCAGTCAAACTTTGTTTGATAGCTCAGAATTGTTTTCTGGGCTTTCATTAGTTTGAGATTGAGAGAACTACTCGTGATCGGATTTAAACTCCGAGTTCTAAAGCAGCAGCGGATGCCCTGAAGTCCAAGTGAGCAGAGAGAATAGAGCAAAGGCCTCTCTTCACAGGGGTCACTTCAAGCCCGATGCTCATTTCTGCTATGTGGGGAGCTGTTTCTGACATGGCAGACCATACACTCAGTAGCTAATGTGTTTTTCAGCTTCTCCAGTTTTCTTATGAATATATTAATAAAGAGAACAAGTTCTCTTAAAAGTTCTTCAGTCACTTTCATTATTTTTTCCAGTTAAAAATATATCGTTCTTTTAAAAAGAAACACAGTCCATGGAATTTCATGGGGGAAATTTCATGGGGGAGAAAAGGCCCCCAAATGTTCGAAACCATGAGGATAGGAAAACATCACCTTTTTGTGCACAAGTATAATTTCTTTGGAACAAAAAGAGGGTATCTAAAGCCCCTGTGCGAGGTAAGACCTCATCTGGAATCCCACATTTGTGGTACCGGGATAATACTTCAGGCAGTGTTTGCTTAACAGTTAGCAATAATGCTTTAATGACTGGGAAACAAAAGAGGACAAAGGGAGTGAAAGAAAGACACAACATAACCCATACATGGTATCTAATCAGAGTGAATTATTGAGTCCACCTCAGTGTAATAGGATCCTATCTTAAAATGTTTTTTTTTTTTTTTGTCAAGCTTACAGTCTGAGCAGCCCAGCATTATTCAGAAGCAGAGCTCAGGATGAGGCTGCAAACTATACTATCTACCACCTTATTTTACAGAAAAACACAAACTCTATAGCTACATAGATAAATACAAGAAGCAGAAGGCTGATTTACTAATTCTAGCATCAGGATGGTTGATTTACGTACCGAGGAAGGGGATGGTAGAGGTCATAAGGCATGATCTGCTTGTATCCGTCACTGTTAGGAACAATAATGCCAACCCTCTGAGTAGAAGGTACACACAATAAAATAAACACTAAATGGTTACATTATACAAATTTTGTTAGACAAATGCAAAACAACAGTAATAAATTGTCTCTGCAAACAACACTAACACAGTTCAGTATCTTTACACTAGCATATGTTTGAGGATGGGGCAAGTTCTTTGCAAGGGCACCGTTTGCTATAATTAGTTCTCTGATCCAAGTAGGAAATACCACTGGGAAGGGTAGTGGCAAGAAAACTTGGCACCTCATCATTAACTATGACACAATAAGCTTATAAATGTTCTTTAATCGCCCAAATTATACATCCTATGAGGTCATTATTATCATCATTATTAATGTTACTTCCAGATGCTCACCAAGCAATTATAGTTATTGTCTCACTCCTGATGAAAGAGAGAGCTATATATAAGAGTATGTACCTGGGAATTGACAATACTCTGTAATGTGCACTAGCAAATAGGTTTCTCCTCTCAGCTTATCTAAAGATTTTAATGAATATCTGGGAAGCGGTCACTGGGTTATTGTATAAAGGGAGGTAGAGCTAGTGAGTATAGTAGGCAGCTACCAAAAAAAGCAAGTCTCCTACAAAAATAAAGGAAGAGCAGTTAAAACGAGATAAAAAATATGAAAAATCTTTTTTGTGGTCTATAAAAATGTAATATTGTGTTAACCGCTATTACAATGGTGGTTGTGATGCTCATGACTATTGTTAGTATATCTAGTGCCCTGGGAAACATGTGAGATTGAGAGATAGAGCCAAAGAAGCCATAGGAAATGATATTATAGGTTGTATGGCTAATGGACTCACAAGAAATGATATTATAGGCTGTGTGGAAGTCCCCAGAGGCTTTATGGACTCTAATAAACTACACTAAACTACCTCACTCATTTCAACTGAAACTTCCCAATGGCAAGACTTTCTTGCAGAATTCCCCGGTTTGTGGAAGATTTATGACTGATTGGTGTCAGATAAAAGGGCTAGTATAATGGACCCTCCATCAAGATTGGGAGACATAGAGAGCTCAATACACAGCTGACACCCCAGCAGAGAACATGATAGGGCATGAGCAGATGACACTTAATCTGCAACTGACAAATGATAAGAAGTCTCTCTTTTGAATACTGAAGGATCTCATTATTCTACATGTATTCCTGGGATAGATAGATGGGTGTATATTTATATATTCATATGCAATACAAATGTTGATATTTATATTTAAATAAATAAGGCAAAGGTTATGTTTAATCTCCTTTTCTGATTAGGATGATATAATATGTTTCTTTTAGAGGGCTAGCAAATCTAAGCTTTTGGGTTAAATGGGTGAGTGCAGTATACCCTGGATCACAAAGATGAAAACTAGCACTGACTGTAGATCATCATAAATAAGGAGGCAAGAGAGAGTGATAAAGAGAGTAGTTTCTGAAGAAATTACTGAAAGGTAAGAGGATACATGACAGAAATTAAATCTAAAAGAAAATGGAAAACAAAGCTATAAAAGATAGATTTATATTTCCAGGAGAGACAACCATTGACCTACTAATTCACTTGTTTGTCTTACTTGACTAAATTTTCTTTATTGATTTGTATGACTACAGTTTTTGACTCATTTGTAGGACTAAGTTTTCATGGTCTATGGGACATGCATTAGTCTACAGTAACATTATTCATGAAACTGGATGCTGCCTTTGAGGAAGGAAAAAATGCTGCAGCTCTAACAGAAAAATGGAATGAGTACTAAGATTAAACTTTTCTCCCTGTTTTCTCAAGTTAGAAAAACTTCCTATTCTTTTCTGCCTTCTGACAGACAGATTGGGTGGGAAAGACTAATCTCTTTTATTACAATCATGTTGATCTCTTTCCAATAATTCTTATGTCTAGTAATTAAGGGAATTTTCTTTCTAAAAGAGCTGTATTTTTAAAGAATTCCAACATTCCAGAGTTCTTCTAATAACTTTGGATATACATCTAATAGTAGTTAATTAAGAAATCATTGAAATTGACTTTGAAGTTATATTTGAGCTAACCCTAGTATCTTTACTCATGCCTAGATCACCTTCTCAGTGCAAAAATGCAGTTCATTGCCTTCTCTTCTGAAAGAAATTATAGCTATGATTTGTTATCCTCAATATTAGAATGAACTGCTGCAGATCTCTGCCAATTGATTTATCAGCTGATGATATTTAAATGGAGGCAGTGATATTGAAGAAAACAGGCTAGAAGAGAAGAAAGGGGAAGAAAAGGGGGGTGCACAGAATTCAAGACGTTGGGCTTTGCTTTGGACTGATTTAGAAATTGTGTTTTTGTTTGAACAAGGAACTCTAAACCTGGATTCAGCAAAACTATAGCTATATTTGTCTTTCTATGGCATGGGTCATGGTGAAGACTCATAAAATCACTCGATGGCACCTGTGAAAACAGAAAGATATCAAAACAATGGCGCTCTGTCCGGTCTTGTTAATGCATGTTCATGTGCATGGGCTCTGCTCTCCCCAGGGGTTCATGCCATGGTCCTGGCCTTTCACCACACTGTCACAGAAGGGTAGGCGCTGTGGCCTAGACATAACTTCCTATTGCTTACCTATTGCTTAGGACACTTGCTCTTTTTTCTTAGGCAAAGTGTACATATTGAAAAATGATGAAAAAGGATGCCATTTTGGGATTTTAAGAAGCTCTTCCTACATTTAGGACTTGACGTGCGTGTGTGCGTGTGCACGTGTGCATGTGTGTGTGGATGCATGCAGAAATGTATCTGAATATGTGGGGAGTGGTAAAAGAGGCAAAAATAATTTTAAAAAATTATCAGAAAGGGAAGCTGTAAAAAAGCAGTCAGTTTTTTTGGGTAAAACCACTGATTCTCCATTGCCTTTATTATTCTGATCACTCATGCACTTCTTACACTGGGCAGTGATCTGATTCGATCAGACTCCCCAACATCAGGGGTCATGGTGGGAAAATGAGAAGATGAAGATAAGATCATTCTGAACTCATGGGGTGTAAGTAGGAAAAAGACATGGTACCTCATCCTCTCAAAGTACACACCTTGATGACTATTCAATGATAGAAGAATGCCTCAGTATTAAGACAGGCTCATGTAATCAAAAGATTTTGCAGTCATAAACATAAGGTCTTTTGCCATTTTTAATGACATAGGAAATGTTCAACTGTAATGTCAACTGAAAATATTTCAATGCAAAGCGGAACATACCATGTGAACCACAATACTAAGAAAATTCATGCATTCGTATTTCTATATAATCATTTTTATAGTCCATATACATGTGTCTGTACATGTACACACATATATATGTACACAGAAATATATTAGGAAAAGACCAAAAAGAGTTATTAGTTCCTGGTGTTTGGAATACACGTTATTTTTCCTTTATATATATATATTTAAAATGTTTGCTTATTTATTTTTGAGAGAGAGAAAGAGAGAGAGAGCACAGTGGGGGAGGAGCAGAGAGAGAGAGAGGGAGACACAGAATCTGAAGCAGGCTTCAGGCTCTGAACTGTTAGCACAGAGCCCAACATGGGGCTTGAACTCATGAACTGTGAGATCATGTCCAGAGCTGAAGTCAGATGTTTAACTGACTGAGCCACCCAGCTGCCCCTGGCCATTGTATTTTGATGTTTTTCTGTCTTCCGAGTTTCCTATAATGTATAGTCACAGGAATTAGAATATTCAGGTAAGACAAAATACAAGTCTGAGAAAGTATAAAAGAGAACCATTTAAAAATACATTATGAGCACATGAAATCAGCTCCTTAAATTCCAAGTGGCATCTAAAGATGATTTAGTCTGTTCTGAAATCATCACAGAAGCTGCTTTAAAACAATATGCCTGACTTTAAATAACTTTAAAAATCAATCCACATTTAGGCCTATTTATTTAGTAAATCTCTGTCTCCAAGAAACATCTTAATGGAACTAACTCTATGGAAGCCTAATTTGTGGGGTTCTGTGTTCTTTTTATAATGGAAATGAACCATAAGAAGCCCTTTTTATGGGTTTCAGTGTCTCTTTCTGTGAATCTCTAAGGACCTCTTGGTTCTCCTCCTGAGCTGCAAAGCCTGACTTCCTGACAGCTGGATGTGCTCTAGGTTTGTCAAGCTCAGCATGTCCAGACAGTTCATTATCTTCCCCTGTAAACTGCGTCTTCTCTGGTGATCTCTGTGACTGTTCAGAGTACTACCATCCTCCCAAATACTCAGGCTAGACACCATGGGACATCTTTGTTGCTTCTCATTCCCATACTTCCTATAGGCACTCAGCTTTGCTAGGTGTGATGTCTGTCAAGCACATTTCCTTGTGACAGAAGTTTGGGTCCTTTTGCAGCGGTCAGCTAACAGATCTCTGCCTGCTGCCATTGCCTCCCCCAACCCAGCCTGCTCACTGCTATCACAGTAATCGATATTTTACTTCCCATCTCAAAAGTCTTAAGCAGCTCTGTAATGCCCAGTGAAATTTCTGAGTCAAGTGTTACCTCTTCTAAAGCCAATCCTCAATGTCCCTCTCAACATCTGGCCAGAAATTCCTTTTTCCTCTTCCAAATACCCATCACACTAACTCCGCTCATCACTTTTAACTATCTACTGAGTTCTAATGTGTATAAGTTTTCTCTAGCTGGACAAAATGCGACAGAATCCATATCGGTTCTTTACTGGATCTCTGAACACCATGCCCTGTGCAGAGGCAGTTAGTGACTACCCACTTGACAAAGTCAGGCCATTGGTATGCAGGCACAAAGGCAAGCAGTACCATCCTGAATGAAAGCAAGCAAACAAAACAAGGTCAAAGAAAGTCTCCCAACAAACTGCCATTCCCTGTGCACATATTTAGTCCAACTCCCTGCCTTCTGCTAGCTCCGGCCTCTGTGGGAGGGAGCAGACTGTTTGGGAAGAGGTTTTGGCTACTCTCACAGCAGAGGTGATCCCGAGATCTGAGGCACAGAAAGGAGTGTGTAATGAC